ACAACTCTATAAGAGTTTACTAAGCTCCCGAATTAATAGGAACTATGTAAGAATATATAAATCATTTTCAATTTGGATATATTACTACAAATGGTGAAAAGACCACCTCCTGTTACTTATGAGTTCATACTCATCAAATTACTGAAAATCTGGTGTAAGGGGAAACCTCTACACTTCCTATACTTGAGAGGAATTAGTTATGTAAATGAAAATTAAGGCAAATATTTGATTAATAAGTATAAAGATTAGGAATACCTCAATGTAGACAATGATGGAATATGACACCACATTATTTGATATTTCTATATAGATCTAAATTCAATATGGACCTTAAAAGGCTTTGTAAATTAGCTTTGTACCAAAAGCTTACTGTTAATACAATCCAATACACTATCAAAAGGTATAAGTGAAAGTATACTATCAAAATAAGTTTGATAAGTAGACTATCAAAAAGTATACATGAGGGCTTCCCTGGTGGGGCAGTGGTTGAGAGTCCGCCTGCCGATGCAGGGGACACGGGTTCGTGCCCCGGTCCGGGAAGATCCCATATGCCGCGGGGGGGCTGGGCCCGTGAGCCATGGCCGCTGGGCCTGGCCCGCCGGGACCCTGTGCCCCGAAACGGGAGAGGCCAAAAAAGGGAAAGGCCCGCGAACCGCAAAAAAAAAAAAAAAAAAGTATACATGAAAGAATTATAATGAAGAAGGTGGACTAGGTAAATAACCAATCAGTGTCTATTCAGTACTCAGTCCCTACGTGGGCAATGTATAGAAAATATCAAATTATGGAAATTCAAGTGTAATTAACTGGTTCTCAACCAGTTATATATACACCTCAGAATCTCCTGATGAGTTTTTAAAAAACAGACCACATGGGCTTCCCTGGTGGCGCAGTGGTTGAGAGTCTGCCTGCCAATGCAGGGGACACGGGTTCGAGCCCTGGTCTGGGAAGATCCCACATGCCGTGGAGTAACTGGGCCCGTGAGCTACAAGTACTGAGCCTGTGCGTCTGGAGCCTGTGCTCCGCAACAAGAGAGGCCGCGACAGTGAGAGGCCTGCGCACCGCAATGAAGAGTGGCCCCCGCTCGCCGCAACCAGAGAGAGCCCTCGCACAGAAATGAAGACCCAACACAGCCAAAAAAAACCCAAAAAAACAAAACAAAAAAAACAGACCACATTAAATTCCCCCCTGGAAATTTTAAACTGTTAGGCCTGGAGTAGAGTTTGTGCTTACATATTTTTATTAAAATATTTCTTAAGTGCTTCTGATGATCATGGCTGGGGGGAGAATCACCCAGATAGGACCGCCATTATAAATTAGATTGGGTGGAGAAAGCACCATAAAGAAGGGAGACTACAGCTGTGCCTTGCCACATAGAAAGCCTTTAAATAGAGCAGAGTAAGGGACTTCCCTGGTTGTCTAGTAGTTAGGACTCTGTGCTTCCACTGCAGGGGGCATGGATTCAATCCCTGGTCAGGGAACTAATATCCCCCAAGCCATGTGGCACAGCCAAAAATAAAAATAGAGGTGAGTAAATCACTTACTATATGAGCAGAAACTGAGGCAGGAACAGTATTGTTTGGGAGAGAGCAGATAGGCCATTCTTCAATGAATTCAAGGCAAATAAAGATGGTAGTGTAGCGGGAAAAGCAGGGCGGGGGGGTGGTGGTGATGGTGGTAGTTGTGGGATGAATTGGGAGATTGGGATTGGCATATATACACTAATGTGTATAAAATAGATAAGAATCTGCTGTATAAAAAATAAACAAAATAAAATTCAAAAATAAGATGGTAGTGTATACTGAATGAGGTAATTACAAGTAAATGTTGACTTAAAAAAATATAATTCAGTAGAGGATTAAATCCAGATTTAGGGGTTAGGAAATGAATGAGTGATGGGGAATCAAGGTAGTTGGTATTTAAAGCAGTCATTTGAGAATTTGGCAGGGGAAGGAAAGTAAAAAATAGAATGGAATTTAAATAGGAAGAGAAGGATCAAAAGATTTTTTTCCAAGACAAAGGAGCCTGAAAATGTTTGCAGGCAGGAAGAGAAATCCAACAGAGAAGAAAAGAGCAAATATTCAGAGCGGGTAAAATTGGGATTTATATCTCCCAGGTGTTTTTAATGTATTTGTTTAAGGACTAAAATATATTACAATAAAATTACACCAGTTTAATTAGAATTAAAATTTAAGTAAATTTAATGGGAATGGGAAACACTGACAACCGAAAAGTCTCCAAAACAGCACAGGACAGAAAGGAGACAACAAAGTCGAAGAGTTTCTGTCAACTGCATCCATTTTCTTCATTTGATCCTAGATCCACAAACTTTGTGTAATTGAGAATAGACGCAAACACTGAATGGAAAACTTCAAGTAAGAAGATGTAGACACGTATGTATAATTTGAGCTAGAACTGGAGCCAAGTCATGCCTCAGCTCTTCCCCAGAGGAGCAGGTAACTGGTTAAGGTGAGTGTTGGCTTCTGCTTCAAATCCTGCTCACTGGCTTAACAGCCTCTTCCTTGGAATAATCTCTTAACGTTTATGTACTAATGACCCCAAAGTAGAGAAAAAATTTTTTTAATCTAGGCCTTATAAAGAGATTGGCTTGGCTCGATGACAATAACTATGATTTTTTTGAAATGGTTTATCAACTCAGGATAGGGTAGGACAACAGCAGCCACTATTAATAGGATATGACTTGATGGAAATTATCCTTAAGCAAGATTATTCTGTCAGTTAAGTTAGGATGGACTCGAGTGGGTAAAAGAATATAGACAGGTCTGTAAAGCTCTTGCTATCCTCTCAAGTGTGAGGTGATGAGGGCCAGAGGCAAATTGCAAAGTGTGTTTAATTTTACATCATTGGATATAAAATTTGAATTAATGATTTGAAGATTACAGTAGAGTACTAGGTTATTTTTTGTAGGGTGGTTTACTTTGTTTTTTAACTTGATTATAGATACAAAGTACTATCACATTTTATTTCACTTGACGCTCATGAAAACTTCCCACAGGGTGCAAAGTATGTGTCAGCAACCATGATAAAACATAATATTTTATGAAGCAATTTTAAATTTAATAGGTGTATAGCTTGATTTCTTTGTATTCTTTAAAGAATTTGCAAGCAAATAAATAGATGCTGTATACCTCAGTCATCGAGACATCAGGGAATGCGTTCTACTAGACAGAAGCTCAAAGAGTTCAGATAAAACTCTCAAGATTATTAAAAAAAAAACCCTGAATCTTGATTTGGTCAAATCTTATTTTGAAACAGAGGTCCTGAATTGAGATTTACAGTAATGTCATTTCTGGAATGTAAAAGCCGGTTATTTTCTAACTTGTCTACGCAGTGTTTTTTTTTTGTTTTGTTTTGTTTTGTTTTGTTTTTTTTGTGATACGCGGGCCTCTCACTGTTGTGGCCTCTCCCCTTGCGGAGCACAGGCTCCGGACGCGCAGGCTCAGCGGCCCAGCCGCTCCGCGGCATTTGGGATCTTCCCGGACCGGGGCACGAACCCGTGTCCGCTGCATCGACAGGCGGACTCTCAACCACTGCGCCACCAGGGAATCCCTACCCAGTGTTTTTTTCATAGACATTATCTTTACTTTAGATTGGATCTAAGAAACTTTCTTTTGACAACTATGCCTTTAATATATTCAAGTTACAAACGTAGTCTGAATCTTTCAACAATTCTTTTAGGATCTGTTTGACTTGATTACTTATATTAGGTTGAAAACTCTAGCCATTTGCATATATCCACGCACGCACTTAACACACATATATCCAGTTTCCAATTTTTAAATTTTAAAACTGTTAAGATGTAGACACGTATTTGAGCTAGAACCGGAGCCAAGTCATGCCCAACTGTCGCTGGTACATCCACACCCTCTTGGTTTCTACCAGGTTTGACCAAGTTATGTGAAGCTGAGATTGACTTTCATGTTATCTATGTGATGTATTGGAAGACCTTGTATAGCTGATGATTTTTTCCCCTTCGTTATATTTGATATAATTTGTGTTAACAACTGGAAGCACTATTATCCTGTATGTGAAAATATTAATATTACAGGGAGATTAACAATGACTAGAGAAAGCAGGGCACGGTAAGTGTGTTTCCTCCATATCAAGTCCTAATACTAGAAGCAAAAGTCACACGTTTGGAGGTTTGTTTTACACAGTCCTGTAAACATAGTTTCTATGGTCCCTGTCCACATGGTCTTCCTGCTCTGCCAGGATGAAGAATCCCGCTCTCCACATGCTGATGTGGTCAGACGAATCAAGTGACTGCAGGAAAGGCACCTTCCTTAGTCAACCTTGTGTCTGCCCTCTGTCCTTGAATCATAGTTACTGGTTTTATAGTCCAGTGCAAATAGTCTTGAGCCCTACAGCAGAGACAAGACACCAGCATCGGATGCATCATAAACCGAGCAGTCAAGCCCCCCCCACCCCCCGCCCCCATACCACAGGGTTTCTTTTTGAGTGGCGATGAGCTATAAGTCAAAGCCATGAAAAGAGGACCTTCATTCTGACCTAGGGTGGGTGACTCCTCAAAGGTGTTTCTTCTTTTCTTCCACAACTGGATGGGAAACCTTGGGACGGTTACTTGGACAGGCCACCTCTAAGTAGCAACAGAGGTGACACTCTCAGATGAAACACTGAACCCATGCATGCTGTCAATGGCCGACCCCTAAATTCATCCCTCAGCCACGCGCTCCAGCCGGAACGCCCAGAAACCACAGGGTCCTTAATCCATTCCAGCAAGAGCGCCAATTTTTGGATGCCAGAGAGGCCGGATGGCACCGGGGCGCGGGTTCCTGCCTCTTCCAGGCCGCACGCCGAAATCAACCGAGACGCAGGCTCGCCGCGACCCGTAGAGCCAGCGTTCCTCTCCCTCTGCCGACCTCACTGCGGGCGGGGCCGCCTCGAGGCAGCGAGGAAAGGCAGGCAGACGAGGAAGAGACGCGGGAGGAGCGCTCTGCGCAGGCGCGCGGCGCCCCGCCTCCCCAGCGTCTGCTCCAGGGCGGGCGGCGCGGGCCCTCCCACTTTCGCCCGCGCCGCCTCACGGCCCCGGCCCTCTCTTCACCCCGACGCCCCGGCGTGCGCGTCCTCCCGCCGGCCTGCAGGCCCGGGGCCTCCGCCTGCCAGCCCGCCGCTGCTCTTCGCGGCCCCGGCTCGCGTTCACGCTGTCGCCCGGGCCGGCGCGGCCGCGGGCAACCGCTCCCCCTCCCACACCTACCCCGTCCCCTCCCCGCCTTTTCCGCCCTCGCGTCCCCCTCCCTCGGCCAGCCGCCGCTGCTCCAGATGAGGTGATGGCAACGGCCAACTTCGGCAAGATCCAGATCGGGATTTACGTGGAGATCAAGCGGAGCGATGGTGAGTCTCGCCGCCGCCCCTGCCGCCCGGGCCCCGCATTTGGGCGTGCACGGAGGAGACGCGGGCGCCGGCTGCCTCATTGATTACTCCGCCGCGCAGTGGGGGCGGGAAGGCGGCGGCGGCGGCGGCGGCGCTTTTGTGTGTGGCGTGTGTGCGAGTGAGGCCAGCTTGGGGTCCGCCCCGGGTGCCGCTGCAGTGCCGGGGCGGGGAGGGGCCCTTCGGGGGGCTGGGCCGGGGGAGGTCGGCGGGGAAGGGCCCGGGTGTAGCGGGCTGCGTCTCTGGGGGCGTCGGGCGGGCGCGCTGGCGGGTCCCGGGCCGGGAGCCCTCGCTCCTCCCGCGATCTCCATCCTCCCCGGGGACGCCAGCCCGGGGGGTGGGGGCAGCGGGCTCCGTTAGGGTTGACCCAGCCTTGCGTCTCACCCCGGCCTTTTCATTTTCCGGCCTCATCTCTGCGGGGGTGGGGAGAGCGTGAAGACCAGAGATTTCAGTATTTAGTGAACCGACTGCTGGTTCCAGGCTGAGGTGGGGGAGAAAGGCCAACCCCGCTGGTTTAAAGTGTCTGGCTGTCACGTTTTTTCGTCAGTCGTTTCTCGAGCATGCCTCTTTCTTTTTTGCTAGTTCCTTCCTTGGAAGAAGGATGCGGAGCTTGTCGTGCTCAGGCATGAATAAGGGTGCGGGTATAAATGGGGAGAAGTATTCGATAAGCTTCTCAAAGGTGATGAGGCTGAAAGGGAAGGAGCGGGATGAACCTAGTCAGTGCGAGGCACTACTGGGAGGGTGGGGCTGGGGGACCGTCTGTTGATATTTTCACACCCTCCGGAGAGGTAACCTAGAGGAAAGTGTAAGACGAGGCACGGGCTTAATTAAAAAAGCCTAGAAAGCCCTAGGCTTCTGTATCTTTCTATAGGTTTCTCTTGGGGAAAATGTTTTATGTCACTAGCCAGCCAGGCTTGGAAATAATTTATATTGTAAAGGAGAAACCGCATGGAGGGGGATAAATTATTTTCTTTCAATCCACGCATTGAAGAAAGTAGAGGTGTGTAATATCGAGAGGTGTGCGGTGTTCCTTATACCGTACCTTTAATTTGTGGCTTATTATCATTTAGCCTAGTCGGTGGTAACTGTCGCTGGTACATCCACACCCTCTTGGTTTCTACCAGGTTTGACCAAGTTATGTGAAGCTGAGATTGACTTTCATGTTATCTATGTGATGTATTGGAAGACCTTGTATAGCTGATGATTTTTTCCCCTTCGTTATATTTGACATAATTTGTGTTAACAACTGGAAGCACTATTATCCTGTATGTGAAAAGATGAATTATACCACTTAGAGCTTTAGAAGTTACCAGCAACACTAGTGGGAAAGAGATGTCTCTTTTACTTGGGTTGGGGTTTCTTTGTATTTTCTCTTCAAATAACTTTTCTTAAGCAGTGCTGTTAACTGCAGTTTCTTTTTGAGGTAAATGCACGTTCACTGTATACTAGCAAAAGTAAGGTTTATATGTTATTTTAAATTTGGGGGAGGGGCATAAAAATGTGTAAGTTCTTTACATTCTAAGCCTTTAACTATGATTATAGGTGTTACTGTAGAATCTATCAGAAGTATCATGATATTTGAAAGGTTTGGATAATTTTATATTTTCTGGGGTAACACCTTTTTATTTAAATGTATCGGACTGGAAATAATTTTGGTTTGGGTGGGTGGTTCTAGGATAGAGGCTTTTAATACTCTTTCTGCCTTCACCTTCTGCCTGTACTAGAAACCCAGACATTTAAGAGCTTTGTGTTCTTACATAAGTGCAAGTAACCTAAAATCACATTTCAAAGCAGTTTGTCCTTGAGAAATAATGGAAATCATTACAATGTATATCATCTCAACTTATAGTACATATTTATGCTCCTCAGATGCATGGTAGAGTTGAAGGTAACAGATAAGCAGAGAGCTTGAAAAGAAGGGAATGATCATTTGCATTGGGTGGTGGTGTTTCACAGTAGAAATTGATGTCTGGGAGACGCCCCCCCAAGCTTTCCCTTTTTCACTTTAAAGAAGCTGTTTTGTTTCTTCCCATTTCTATAGCGTAAGTGTTTTCGATAAAACAGTAGTGGTCATTGTAACAGAAATAAACTTTGTAGTTGGTTGAGCATGAATGTAATGCCTGAGACAGTGGAAACCACAGGATGAAGAAGGGCTGCTAGACTGCTGTTAACTGGTGACTTGATGTTTTTCTGCATGCTTGCTAATGGTGATCCTTGTCCTTGTTTCCGAGCATGCTTCTCCCATCCGTTATGTTATATTAAAAAATATATATTCCCAGGTAACTAAAGTAGACTTGTTACTCTCTTTCAATACCCTGCTCAAAACTAATCCCTGCTAAGTCTTCATTGATTACTAAAGCTGGATGGCCAGTGAGCCACTGAATTCCTAAGTCATTAGGAGACTCGTGAGACAGCATATTTCCTTAAGCATTAATATTTGGGTACATTTTTCTTAATATTATATTTTCAAACTGACCAGACAAGGGGTAGTGTGGAGAACGCAATTGAGGGATGGCAGCCTCCCTGTGCCCACTTCAACCAGAGCCAGAGCATTAAGGAATTTTAAATTCCCTGAATTCATCTGCGTATCCAATCATGTTCCTAGCTGAGTTTCTTGTATTTAGTTTTTGAGCAAATCATTCATTATTGGATTTTGGTTTTCGAACATTATTTTAATTAACCATTAAGATGAAGTCTTACCTGGAAGGGAGACCCTTGCCTCTGTGCTCATCCTGTGAGTCACTTCCCTCTCTACCCCCCATGCCCACCACACCTCATACAGGCCTCTTATTCAAGACTCCCAGAGTTGATTGAAACTGAGTGATCTGTGAAGGCTTGCTGACTTTTTTGGTATTCTAAGATTAGAAGTGACAGAGGTTAGGCTTGGACTCCTCAGATTATCCCTAGCCACAGGAGATAACCTGGTGTGAAATTGGACTGGTTTCTGGAAATGAACACTCATGTTTATTTTCTTGCATGTGTCTTCCTATTATCTTTCTGATTCAGTTTCTTTTTGTAATCTAATGACCCTGAAAACTGCAGTCTTAACTGTTGTGTAACTAGGTAGTTTTCACTGGGAGATGCCCCCCCCCCCAAAAAAAACACCATGCACTGTTAAAACATTCCTTATTCGTTCTACAGTAGCTGTGACTATTGTTTGGGGGCTGGGGGAGTGATGAGATATGTTTTGCATATTTCGAAGCTGCAGCTATGATGGGATTGTTCTTTGGGGTCTCTTAGTTACAGGATTGATAAATGTGATCTGAAGAGAATCATACAGTATTTCAACCAGACAGATCCTTGGAGATGATCTAGCTCTCATTCTTATAGATGTGGAAACTGAGTCCTAAGTCACTATAAGTGACCTGTGTAGATTCATACACCTTCATACAGTGGCAGCCAGGAACCTGGCTTACATAGCATAGAAACCATACTATCAAGAACTGTGACAGTAGAGGAAGAATTCTCTATTATTTGGAAACCATATACAGCTTTCTACAGCCCAGTAAAGACGTAGGAAATTGCTTCTCACTCATGGGAAAGCCACTAGAGAGCAGTATTATAGAGCCCAATTGTAATGATCCAGTAAAAACTGTTATGGTATGTTTACTAGAAGGTCACAAAACTCAGAATTGTGGGAGAAAAAATATTCCTGTGTCTTAATTAAATGCTGAAAAGAGTGCTTTAATTGAGCATCTGAAATCCAGAGGAAAGTGAAGATTTCAAAGGACCCATCAGGAGTCTTTGAGTTTGGGGCAGGCAATCTTTAGAAAAGATTTCAATGACTTAATTCTCTACGTACTTTGCCACATATATTCTTCTGCTAGTTCATCTTTACATGTTGTTATATAGGCTTTTGGAGAACAGACTGAATTTAGGTAATAAAAATGAACCACATAGCAATATAGTTCCTTTTGGTACAGTTATGTGATTTTGATTATGAAGTGGGTAGAATGGAGGAAATTGTGGACTAGTGATTTCTTTTTACATGGTGATTAGCATGATGGTGGTTCCATATATATATATATATATATATATATTTTAGGTCTTCATAGTTTTCCAAATAGGTTATCTAATTGGATCCTCACAGAAACCCTGTGAGGTAAGTAGGGTAGGTGGTGGCAGATTCATTGTTTTATAGGTGAAGAATCTGAGGTTGGATTACTTGCAAGATCACATGGTTAATAAGAGGCATAGCCTGGACCAAAACCGAAGTCCTTTTACTCCTAGCTCTCTTCAAATGCTGGCACATGTTTGCTGATGATGGTATGAAGTTGATCACTTTGTGTACTTTGATTTTCTTCTTTTTTTCTTTTTTGAGATATGAAAGCCCCTTTTGCTCAGATAACCTACAATTAATAATGTTGCTTAAATTTGCCCTATTGGTGAGATCAAATTGATGTCTGATATTTTATTAACTATAAGCATTAAGATTCAGCAATCTAAGGCTTTAAAGCCCTTTCCAATAGTCAATCACTTGTTGCTTCCAGAACTACTACAGAAAGAAATCTATATTCATTGCCTAGTCACTTGATTCTTATGACAGAAATTTTGGAACTGTGGGGAAAGGCACGTTAACAAGGTTAACTTGTTTGTGTGTCAAAAATCTAGAGAAAATAGCAAAGAGCCAGTTAAGCTTGTGTCCCTTCAAATAGGGAAGGAGGCACAAGTGTGGAAAATCCAGAAAAAGATTCCTTGAGGGATCATCCAGACCCATTCTTTCTAGTCACAAGTATACTTGTCGTTAATATTACATTAATTTTTTGCAAGGCTTAATTTTTGGAATTAACCACCAACTTTGCTTTTAACACTTCTATCCTGTAACCTAAAATAATCTTTTAAGGTGTTTATTTGTTTTGATGTTGTAGTTTTGAGCTTGAGAATAGATAAAATTTTTAAGCCCTGAGTAAAACCAATTTTCGCTCTTCTGGTCCAATTGTGGAGCAATTGTGGGAAGGTTGCTC